GGGGTGAGGGCTGGGGCTGGGCCAGAGGCATTGCTTAGCTAGGAGCAAGGGTGGCTCCCGGGGGAGGCTGAGCACTTTCCTGAAAATTTCGGTGGGGGCTGAAGTCCCGCCGCCCCCACGAAGATTACGCCCATCTGCCACCCGAGCGCGCACGCAGACCCGATCGGCACCCCGGGCGAGTGGGACGCCATAGACGGCGTGCACGCCCACAACCCCGGTCGCAAGCCGCCGCCCCTCCTGTTTACACGGCTCTGCTTTCCGCCCTTTTGCATAAGGCGATCGGAGGGCGGGGGCGGAGATCCAGCCGTGCCTTCCACCCCACCCCACCCCCCCGGGCCCGGGCTAGGGCTACAACAACGTGGCCGCAGCCCAATCGGACCACATCGCGCACGGCCACACCTCCCCCCCCACCCCGCGTGGGCAGCTCCCCCCTCGGCGCGACGAGCCCGGAGTGGGCGGGACCGGGAGTTTGGCGAGATCTCCAAGGGAACCAAGAAGGGGGGGGAGAGAGAGAATGGAAAGAATGGATCGCTCTTCCTTCCTCCCCTCCCCAACACACAGAGAAAATGTGGATTAAAACGGCTCTCCCCCAAAAAACGGGAGAGGAAGGACGCCGCTGCCCCCGTTGACGGGTAGACTGCCTCGGGACGTGGAGGCTCCTCTGAGCCAGGAGGAGGGCACGGATCTATCGTCTCCTAGAGCTCCCCTCCCCACCCAACCCAACCAGTGTTCCCTCTAAGCTGAGTCGGTGTGAGCCAGCTCACAGTTTTTTAGCCTCTGGCTCACACATTTTTGTCTCCGCTCGGGAAGGGTGGCTCCGGAGCAAACTAATCTACGCAGGAGCCAAATGGCTCGCTCACAACTTTAATGCCGGCAGCTCACAAAGTAGGATTTTTGCTCACGAGACTCCACAGCTTAGAGGGCACGTTGAACCCAACCCAACCCCCGTTCGTCAAAAGTACTTTCCCTTTCGGGGCAGTCACGTGGGATCCAGGGGGGATCGGCTTCTTTGGGGCGGGGGCCATGTTCGAAGAGGCCGGGTTCTACCCCCTCCCCCCAAATCGGGGGGAACATGAGTAAAAAAAAATGGCAGGGCGGAGAGGAGGCGCGGTCCCCACGTGGGCGGAGGCCAAGGACGGGCAGTCAAGCAAGGAAGGGGGAAAAAGGGGTTTCCATCTGGGGTCGCCCTTACCCGTGTGCGTCCGGAGATGCGCCTTCAGATGCGACGACTTCCCGTAGACTTTGGCGCAGCCCTGGAAGGGGCACCGGTGCCTCCTGGGCGAGGCGGCGGCCGGGCCGGGCGCGCCGTCGAGGGCGCGCCGGGGCCCCTCCGGGAACGCCGCGAAGCCGCCGGGCAGCGGAGACGGGCAGAGCGCGGCGCCGGGGCGCCCGGACTGGAGAGCCGTCGAGCGGCAGTGGGGGCGCGCCGTCCAGTCGTCCTGGGGGGCGGCGGCCGGGTGGATCAGGGCCCCGCTGGAGATGGACACCAGGCACTCGGCCGCCAGGTAATCCAAGCCGGACATGCCGCCTGTCGGATCCTCGTCGTCGGGGGGAGAGGGGGCGCGGCGACCACCCGGGGCTCCACCCGGCTGGGGTGCCGTCAGGTTGGCTGGCGGAGGGCAGCCGAGGCGGTGACCCTCCTCCCCGGCGAGACTCCACCTCTCGGCACGTCGGGTCGCCGGGGAGGAGGGGCAAGAGGGGGCGGGGCAAGAGGGGGCGGGGCGCCTTCCAGCGCCCAGCTCCTCGAACCAGAGCCCGGAGGTCGCGGCGATGCGCGAGTGACACGTGTCGTGCTCGGCACGTGACGCCTACTGCCGCGTGTGGGTCGTGGGAATCGCGGGCGGGAGCGCCGTGGGGACGGTGCGGCCGGGGAGGGGGGAAGAGAAGTGTGCACCGCCTGCCGCACCGATTTCGGAATCAACCCTTGCGGGAGACGATCAGGTTTTGCAAGAGTCGGGTGTTCCAGAATGATTTTTTTTCTCTAAAGAAAATCTCTTTCCCAGAGCGGGGTGTCGGACTAGGGCCTGAGAGCGCCAGGTTCGAATCCCCGCTTGTGCCGTGGAAGCTGGCGGGGTGACCTTGGGAGCTCTCCGACTGACACTGACCCACCTCGCGGGGTTGTTGTGAGGAGGGAACGGAGGCGTGGAGGACGACGGGGGGCCGCTTTGGGGGTGAAAGGCGGGATATCGATTAAGTAAAGACATTCTTGATCGGAAAACTTGGGGGGGCGAGAATGTTGAGAAGCGATGGCAGAAAAGGGGGGGGTCGAGGGGACTTATCTATACCCCCGGCTTGCTGCCCTCCCCAGGGCCACGTGCTCAGATCTCTAAAAGCTTAATTCTGGAGAGGGTAAATTGGGAGGGGGATTGTTAATATCCTGATTCCCTGCAGGTCTCCAGCTTACCGATAAGACATAATCACAGTACTTTGTTGTTTATTGGGGGGACCCTTCCCCCAAAAGAGCAAGATTCGTTCTCAAATTAAAACACGGAAATAAAAATTAAGTGGTGTCTCCTGCCTTCCCTAGGAAATCAGCTACCGCCCTGTAGAGAATTTGTGGCGTTCCACCTTGGCTCCAGTAGGTGGCAGTAGTCCCCCTTCCGGAAGATGAATCTCATGTTCGTAGGGCGCCGGCTTCACACGTGCAGAAATTCAGGACACCCAAGGGGTGGCTTGTATGCATGGGGAGGCTAGTTTCCAGGACAGGCGCTGGCAGGAATATCATCCCCCCCCAGTACAAGATTCCTTGCCACAGGATAGCCTCTGGCTTAAATACCTGTAAAACACATTCAGCCAGGTCTCCCTATCTGACACAGGGGCAAAAATCAGGATGGGAAAACCAGTTCTGATGATCACCCGGCGTTCCTGTTTGGTTCCGACACCCAGTAGGAGCACATTTGAGATGTCCTTCCTCTTTTCCCGCACGGACACGGCTCCACCTTTAAAACCTTCCTCTTCTTACTCCCATCTGCAAAAGTATTTATACTGCAGTCTTTGAACAGGCACTTCAAAGCCACCTTTCTGTTTTTTCGCACACCAGGTGCGTGGGGTTGCCATCTCCAGGTTGGGAAACTCCTGGAGATTTGTGGGTGGAGCTTGGGGAGGGGCCTCAGCGGGGTATTGTGCCGTAGAGTCCACCCATCGGAGCAGCCATTTTCTCCAGGGGAACTGATTTCTGTAGTCGGGAGATGAGTTGTAATCCCAGGAGATTTACAGGCCTCACCTGGAGGTTGGCAATCGTGACGTGTCCACTGAGCCTTTGACACAGTTCGCGGAGGAGGTCTGCTGAATGGAACCTCCATGTTCCAAGGCTGTATACCTCCGGTGCTGGGAGAGGCAGGCCACAGAAGGAGGCATGTTGCTTCCTACAAGCAGGGGTCATTTCGCAGACGAAGAGGTGCAGGAGCTCATTAGCATAACTCATTTGCATATGCCACATCCCCTGACATCACCGGAAGTGTGTCAGAAGGCAACACCCACCACTCAGACTCGGGGAAACAGGGTAGCTATTGTGGGGGGACATGCAGATCTGTCCTCACAGAGGAGGGAGAGCTTGTACCTGAATAAAACTTGGTCTTAAAGGTGCCACTGGACTGTTTTGGAACGGGGGGCTGGGGGGAGGCTCTGCAACTTACCTGGCTGCTTCTTGCTCTGACGGAGGGCTGCTGGGAGCAGGGGGTGGGGCTTGTTGCATGTGCCCGCCCCCTGGGCTCTTTACTGCCAGAGCTCCGCTCCTGTGCGCTCCTGCAGGAAATGACCCCTGCCTACAAGCCCCACGTGGGTGACAGAAAACTAGGCTAGATGAACCCCTGGTCTCAGGGGTCCACAGCATGGAGTCCACCAAGTGTTAAAAAGTGGGTGGGGCTTCTGACCAGCAGTGTGTATGCCAGGAAATATTCTAAAACAATATTTTTGTTTTAAAAGGTATCCTGTAAAGAGAGCATCTGCCTGAAATATTGAAGAGTAAACTATTAGACTTATTTTGTTTGCTTGCTTGTTTATTGGATTTCTACACCGCCCTCTCCAGATCGGGCTCAGGGCGGTTTACGACATTTAGGGTTGTACATTAAATCATAACATTTCAGTAAATGCAGTTATACAAAGAGATTAACATTTAAAGCAGCAATATAAGAACATAAGAGAAGCCAATGTTGGATCAGGCCAGTGGCCCATCCAGTCCAACACTCTGTCACACAGTGGCCAAAAATACCAGGTGCCATCAGGAGGTCCACCAGTGGGGCCAGGACACCAGAAGCCCTCCCACCAAGAAGACAGAGCATCCCTTGCCCCAGCCTGAGAGTTCCTATCTATACCTTGTGGCTAATAGCCACTGATGGACCTCTGCTCCATATGTTTAACCATAAGAACATAAGAGAAGCCAATCTTGGATCAGGCCAGTGGCCCATTCAGTCCAACACTCTGTCACACAGTGGCCCAAAAATACCAGGCACCATCAGGAAGTCCAGCAGTGGGTCCAGGACACTAGAAGCCCTCCCACTGTTGCCCCCCCCCCAAGCACCAAGAATACAGAGCATCACTGCCCCAGATGTAAGAACAGAAGAGAAGCTAATGTTTGATCAGGCCAATGGCCCATCCAGTCCAACACTCTGTTACACAGTGGCCAAAAATACCAGGTGCAGAGGTCATTTCGGGGGGGAACGCAGTTCCCCCGGGTGAGATGCAGGGGGGCGGGGCACATGTCGAAGCCCCGCCCCCTCCTTCCGGCCGCCCGTTTCCAGCCCTCATTCAGCCAGGAGGAGGCAGGAGAAGAGGGAGGGTAAGTTGCTTCCTCACCGCCTCTCCCCACCCCTGCCTGCCTGGGGCCAGGGAGGGCCTTGGCGGGGCTTCCTCGCACTCCCGCTGGCCTTGCAGGTCCACCGC